CAGTCGCAATAACTTAGAACACCAGGGTAACTCACTCACAGTCTTATATTGTAATAGTAGCGGTAGGACCTCTTGTGAGTCCGCACGGGTAGATACCACCGCCCCGCCTATTTATATCTTAAGGTGGGTAGCGCATTTACGCGGTAGATGTCTATGGGCTCCAGTAACCGCTTAACACCAGGTGGGCTGTGAGCTTGTCCACCCATTAAGCAATAAAAAAAATAAAAAAAATTGTACATTGGACTTTGTAGCCGGAAAATTTTCGTGAATTTTGTGCAAGAAAGTGTAAGGATGTTTATGCAAGGAAATTGTTCAAACAATATTACAAAACACAATACATACGCATTAAAGATACACAAAAATCGGTATTGATTTGCTAAATCGAACTTTTAGTGTTTTATATTTAAAGCCATTAGGTCTCGTGGACTCAATCTGGTAGGCTATGAGTACGTTTTCTCAAAAACACCACTAAATAGTTCGAATGTATCATCACACACACACTAAGGCGTAGACAAGAAGTTTAATGATTTACCAATAACATAGAAGGTTAAATTGTCACGCCTTTAATTACGATTACAAGGATGCAATAGATAAAACTGTATTTAGATAACAGCCTACAAGTGCCGAGACCATTAGCGTTAACGATACCTTTTACTGGGTGAAACGAAACAAGGAGATCAGATACGAAGGCACGTTTCAACTCATTAAGTAACAATGTACACGAGGTAGATGCAATGTAACTATTGTACATTAGAAACGGTAAACAAGTTCTTAAAGTTGGATAGAAATCTGTTCGTGTGCTGTAGTTGTGGCTATGAGAGAACAGGGATATCATAAATCGGCCACAAAAATACTGGAGTGGAGACCTCGTACTAGTCGTCGTAACGTGGGAAGACAGCCAACGAGGTGGACCAATGTCCTGGCCAAAGTGGTTGGTAGGGACTGGATGCTAAAGGCAAGAAACCGAAGAGAATGGGGTGCATTCAAAGAGACTTTCACTGGTGGTAGGATCTCTTGTGAGTCCGCACAAGTAGGTACCACCGCCCTGCCTATTTCTGCCGTGAAGCAGTAATGCGTTTCGGTTTGAAGGGTGGGGCAGCCGTTGTAACTATACTGAGACCTTAGAACTCATATCTCAAGGTTGGTGGTGGCATTTACGTTGTAGATGTCTTTGGGCTCCGGTAACCACTTGGGTAACACCAAGTGGGCCGTGAGCTCGTCGACCCATCTATGCAATAAATAAATAAATACATAAACTTACACCCAGCATTGGGTGCACACGGGTTGAAAAAGAGATCGTCGATCCTCTTTGAATCGCATTAGCATCACCTTATTCTTGGTCTTCGAATTGAATTTTAGCAGTCAGACGTCATCCTGGAATTTTAATGCATGTTTTTGAATATTTTGTAGATCAGTCTCACGGTCTATCCGACTAATCGAATTTGACCCTGACAATTCTGCGAAGGCATGCCGGTAACCTTCGATGATTTATTCACGATTTTGAGTGTCAGGAGATTTGGTTTATTCAGCCTCAAGTACCGTAGACAAAGACAACAAGTAAATTAAGTACCTTATTATACTCTGTCAACCAAGTATTTTTCTTTATTAGTTATTTGGGAGCCTTAGTTTTATTTTGGTGTTATCGATTTAAAAAAATTGAATTAGGCAGTTTTTTCTGTAAAATGTGAATAACAAAACAAAAGAGTAATATATAAAACCAATCTTAATCTTGGGCTCAACACTGATATATATGCACACGATGAAATCGAAGTAGAAAATTGATTTAATTTAATTATAAAAATTGTAGTTACGACTCGCCCTACACTTTTCATGATTGCAGATACGAATTTACCTTTGAATATTGTATTTTTATCATATTTTATTAGAAAGGATACAAATAACCCAGAAAGCTTGTTTCGTTATGAAGTCTTCTTTACAGAATTACGTTCGCCTGTGTCTTTTATTCGATTCTTATTTAGTCTTATGCCGTTCAACTATCAGCTAGCTTGTAGCTGGAATAGCCCCTTAGGTTAGCAGCGAGAAGGAATAATGGTGATGTTTCCTTTCCTACCGATACCCGTCGTTTGATAACGGACCCACAAAGTAAATTAATATCATGTGTTACATCTATAACATTTCTGTGTAAATTCCAGGGAAAAATACTGCATAAGATATGAATTAAGTAGTTAGTTAATAGGATTGTGGACGGTATACTCACTGCTAATAGACGCGGAGGTATCTTTTGAATACTAATCGGGCGTTAAGATCTTCTGAACTCTAAGATTTGCAAGTAAGTTCTCGTTGTCTGTCAATAGATAGATGACTGCATAAGGGCTGATCGATTTTGACTGATCTAAAATGTTCTGAACCAATCTTAGATATTAGTAAAATAAAAAGAAATCGATTAGACGTATTAGTGAATTCGTTGTTGCTATACTTTTGGTTGTGTGAAAATATCTAATTTTGTACCACCCAAGCGCTTCCATTTAGTTCGTGCATAGCCTCAAAAGACAAATACTTTACTGTCATGGTATTTGAACTAATAGGAAAAATTTGTGGCTAGTAATGGGTTATACTCTTTTTTTTACAATAAAGTTACATGTTCATCAAATAACACCGAAATTTAGTTACCGTTCTTATATATTTACCCATTTCACGACCACGGCTCTGCGTAGTTATATTTAAATGTCCAGTCTGATTATATCCTCATTTCAATAAGAAAAAATACAAATACATTTCAAAATGTATTTCAGTAGTGCTTGTTTGTTGACAACGGTCCGGGAACGTGGGCGGCTAACTGTGCCACTGCCCACTTCACTCGCAAGGAATCTTTCATGAACGATTACATTTATTTGAACTCTTCCATTGCTTCTTTCGTGACAACCTCGATCTAATCAACTTCCGATTTCGCCAGTAATGGACGTGATCGTATGCAATCGTTTAGTTTTCAGCGTTATATTGGAAAGATTAACATTTTTGTCAGTTATCACCTTAATTTGGTGTTATTTCGCTTCCTACATAGTTTAGATCTCAATTCTACATTCATTCTCTTTTGTAACACTGGCAACTTCGACTCTGATATTTAAAAATATTTGAAATATAGAAATACGAGATATATCTGTTGGATTTATTAATTACATTCCATTATTATACTTTCACAATAGCGCTACTGATTGTGTTACATGACGTCAATGTTTCATTCGAACAACTGGTGTAGGTGTATGTGAATACAAACCTTTGCATTCGATTTCAAAGTAAATATTTTTGTTATCGCTTTCATTGTTACGTTTGTCGCTATGGTGATTAAAACCGTGCACGCCACTGCAATCTGGTATTCTGCGATAAAAACAATGGTACAAAACCTATTCGTTTCATCTTTGCGTTTGATATAAATTGTACATATTCTCGTTTAGCTTTTGTTTGTTGGTATAAAAATATAGCATTTATTATTGCTATCTGCCATCACCCTTAGATATTTTCTTATACGGAAAGATAACCTTGAAGCATCCTATAATCCGATATTAAGGCAATTGCACCATCTGTCTTTTCCAATAACACGATCATAGTATTTTTTATTTTTTTTATATCCTATATGTGTTGACGAGCTCACAGCCCACCTGGTGTTAAGTGGTTACTGGAACCCATAGACATCTACAACGTAAACGCGCCACACACCTTGAGATATAAGTTCTAAGGTCTCAGTATAGTTACAACGGCTGCCCCACTCTTCAAACTGAAACGCATTACTGCTTCACGGCAGAAATAGGCGTGGCGGTGGTACCTACCCGTGCGGACTCACAAGAGGTCCTACCACCAGTAAATCACGTGCTCTAAATATTTAATCAGTACTGTGGGATCTTTTAATCTGGTTTGTATTAAATAAAACTATACGAAGCTCTCGGAATCGTTTGACCTCTTTACGATCGAGCGCTATCTTCACATACCATTTTAATAAATCATATTTATTTGTATTAAAATCGACAGGCAGACAGATAAAAAGTATTGATGGTCAGAAAAGGACATCTGTATTCAAGCATGTGAACCTTGCCTTCATTTCGTTTCTCATGTAATTATGTCCTGTTTAAAGGCTTATTACATTTGGCTGAATTCAGTGAAGTGTAATAGCATTAAGTAAGTTAGTCTACTGAATTCAGTAGCAAGGATGGTTTCTGACTGACTAAATCATTTAGAAGCCTAATTAGAAACGCATTTAGGAAGGTGTAATCGCATTTAGTTACTCAATGATTTCAGTCGTCTCATAGCTGGGACAATACTGGGGCCATCCTCTTACTCACACGACACGTCTTACTTCGTCGCGTTTAAACTGACAATTGATTCAGTAACTGAATTTAGAACAGTGTAATCAGAAGCTTCTAAATTTGCTTCTGAATTCAGTCGACTAAATTTAGACAAGTGTAATAAGCCTTTTATTGAGCCCTTCTGCGATTTGGGACCGAAAGAAAGTATTAACTTTGTATCCGCATGAATTTAAACTTTAAGCGCTTGCAGTACCTTTTACAATGTAAGGATGCATTATGAACAATGGTCATGACCCATAATTTTTTCATGCCGGTCCGCGTGACTCATTTTTCGATTAATCCCTTCCTGCTTAGATGACATGTAGAGTATACGAGTAATCTTATCTCATAAACAATGACAGATTGAATACACTGATTCACTAGATAGATGCGCGTGTTTGTTTTCAATGATTTGTTTATTTTTTATTAAATTGATTCAATTGGATTTTTAATTGTCTAGAACTATTTTCAAGTATTAAATTGCCAGACGCTTGTGACATTCTTTTAAATACTAGTAATTCCTACGAACTGTGTTCGAAAAGTGTGGATGTTTTTTGCAGATATTGTATACGCGCGTGTTTGATGACGTTGCACAATTCTCGGTTCGCCTGCATGCATTATAGTAGCTTGGAGACGCGGTTCAGACGCCGCCGGTGTCCCCTCGCGATTCGACGCCCCTGCCCCCCGCGGTACTACCGCGCCTCCAGTTGCTCCGCAGCTGTCGCGCGCGTCGGTCGCGTGTCTCGTGCGACTTTGCTACCCATCCACCGTAATATGGATATATACCACACCCGCGCTCTTATCGAAATCCATTTCGCATATTTGTGGCTACGCGAAGTTTCCGAAAAACGTAAATGGATTATTTTGTAGAGTGAAAACGGGAAACAAAAGTTTTATAAGGTCTGCTCTGGAATTTCTAATATGGCAATCGTTGGCGCGCCGACGTGTTCGGCACATGGCTTCATAATAATATGGTGCTTGAGGAAATTACGTCACGATCTACTACAGTGTTATAGTATTGCGAGAGTGTAAACAGTGTTCTGTTTAAGTTAACTTTATAACTAAAAAAATCTAATGAAATAGAGGCAGATAGTTGATGGCGCACTCGTGGCGTCCACGTTACACTATGGCGGGCTTATAGTCGCATCCATTTCAACGAGTCATTTTCTGTAGTTGTTTATCGGAATAACTTTAAATACATTCCGGTTTGAGTAATTGATGTAGCTTTTTAAAATAAATTGCGAACAGACGCGGATAAGTATAGTTTGATCCTAAAAATATAAACAATATTTTCTTAGTTTAAGTATATAATAGGGAATAATTCAAATTCTTAAACCGCATCGAATGTAGATATCGCTTTGTTCAAATTCAATGTACGATTTCGTCCGAGGTCACGAGCTTAAGAAATCGTTGGCTAATTGGTTTGGTACCACCAATGGATTATTTGAATCAACACTTCATTCCAAGTTTATCTAAATAGTTGTTACGAAAACGGGATTGTGTTTTTAAGACTGATTGTATTTTTGTCTTTCGTATTGTACTAGAGTAAAAATCCTTGGTCATTCCACGTTAATTTACACAAGTCGGGTCGTATCCGTCCAAAGAATTCTAATGTGTGCGCAGCGTCATTGCAACATGGCCGCATGGCCTACCACGGTATATTAGTTCAATCTGTCTGCGGAATTCACATATAACATCTTCTGAAATTTATGTGCGCCTAGTACTCAATACCGTAAGATAGAGAAACGAAATTAGCCAAATTGATACAAAACAAACCATTTCAAACTAGTTTTAAATATTTAGATGATTCTCAAACTTTTTTTGAACGTGTGTGTGTAAAAATGTGGTTTTTAATATACACATACTCCATTTACCTCGTACATTTACGTCTGATCTCGATGAACATGGTTCGTTTACCTGTGCAATAATAATGACAACAACATGCTAATTGTTGGCAAACACGCAAGGAATCTCAATTAATCTAATTAAAATATAGTATGTCACAGACATTACTTTACTACTCAAATCCTTTATGGAACCCAAGCAAGTAAAACTTTGTAGTATTTACCTTACCTGCTCTAATAATTTATGAACTAAATAATAGTATTTTAAAAGGATTCCATTGGTATCGTAACTTTCTCGAACGGCCGATGATGCTTAGAAGGTTAGGACCGCACCGGGCAGGAGGTTATGCAATGGATAGTTGCCACGTGGCGCTATCCCACCGTCTGCGCATGTCTCGCTCAGATCATGACATTGCACTCTGGGAACACCGGGTCCTACTCACGCCGACACTACGACTTTCTCTCTCACGATCCGAACGGAAACTCATTGTAGTAGTAGATTCTATCAATGGAAAGATATTATACAGTTTTATTTTTCTGTCGTAGCTAATATTTGTGCATATTTAATGCTTCGTTGACAGACAGATGCTCTTTTACAAATATAGTTTAGATTATGAGTTGTTAAAGAAACTATGATTAGATTTTTGTCGTTTTAAATAATACTAGTGGTCCCACAGTAGTCGAAATTCGACTATAATTAATTGAAATTGTAAGTTTGTATACCATTATGATTCTATTGTCCAAGAAAGATCACAGATTTCGCCAAGACTACACTTTAGACAAATATTATTATAATAAAGACAAACATTATTTAATCTATTCTCAATTTGACCACAGACTTTAAGCAATAAGAAAAGTTTGACAATAGTCAAATAGTATGCATGCGTGTATTGTGTTTGTCAAAGGCAGGGTAGTGTGTATAATGTTTTTTTTACTGATTTAATGTATTATTTATGCATAATTTAAAAAAAAATATTAACATTCTGCACTCCTTCTCTATATTCTCTATAAGTGTGGGAAATTTCATACTTCTATGTCCGCGCAATTTTCGTAAAAAGGGGTATGAAGTTTTTGCTTCACGTATTAATATATAGATATTTTTTCTTCAAGTCAAAAATTGGATATGATATTTCCGATTAAAGCCCGCGGTTGGAATGTGAGTGACATTTAAATGAAAGGTTTAACTGGGCTTCTGTCTCTATAGCTATGTCTCCCAAACGAGTGGGTGGATAATGGATCGATTTTAATGCGTTCTATTTGATATTGTTCTTAGGTTATTCGATAAAATTTTATTACGCTTTTACGCAAATAACTCTTATAAGATCCATTTCCAATTGCAATGAGACTTAAGCAGACAACCGTAAAATTTGGCGAGGGGTATATTATGTTTTTAATGGTTTTAATAGGGTATATAGGTTAGGACGTAGTAAAATTTCACTTTCACCGTAGACGTAATTAAACACGTGGCTCGCATTTAGTGCGCAGGTCCGCAAGTCCCAGCTGTCTTCTTGGAAAATCGTTATCGTACGCCGCATCCACGACACGTGGCCTAATATCGCCGATTTGATTATCAGAGGAAACTTTCACTGTCCAATGAAATGGAAAACAAGATAAGCACGGGAGCCCGTAGACATTCACAACTTCAATTTTTTTTTGTTTATTGCCCGTGTAGGCAGACGAGCATACGGCCCACCTAATAGTGAGTGGTTACCGTCGCCCATGGACTTCAGCAATGTTAGAGACAGAGCCAAACCGCTGCCTTCCCCAACTCAACTTGTGACGCGAGATTGAAGATTCAAATTGCATTGTTGTATTAACGGATGCCTTACTTTTCAAACAGGAACTTATTATTAAATACTTCTTTACAGAAACAACCAGGATATTGCGTTTTTTGTTTTAATACGCGTTTATATATTTAAAAAAAGAACATCACATTTTATTCTTATCTGTTTATAGATGATGATATGAGAATGTTTTTGAGTTTTTCCTTTTTGCTTAATTTCGCTATTAGGTACAATGATCGAAATGCATTTTTTATAGTGAAATTATCGCCAAATCGAGAATACATTGGAATGAGAATAACAATCCAATAATAAGTTTCCCGGTCCAATTACGAAGATATCTTACATGACACTGGAAAGGGACAACAAGAGTAACTGGCAACTTTATAGGTTCCGGTCATCGCTTAACATCACTTAGGCCGTGAACTTATTTGCCTATCTTATTAAAGAGTTCGCAATTTGCAACGTTAACTCTGATACGAAATATTGTACACATATCTATCAATCTATTACTGGTGGTAGGACGTATTGTGAGTCCGCGCGGGTAGGTACCACCACCCCGCCTATTTCTGCCGTGAAGCAGTAATGCGTTTCGGTTTGAAGGGTGGGTCAGCCGTTGTAACTATACTTGAGTGTACTCTCAAGGTAGGTGGCGCATTTACGTTGTAGATGTCTATGGGCTCCAGTAATCACTTAACACCAGGTGGGCTGTGAGCTCATCCACCCGAATAAGCAATAAAAAACATTGAAAAAATCAGATACTGTAGTCTAAAAATTAAAAACAAAGTAATGACACAGAATCTACTTTGTATTGATAACAAGTTCAAGTAAAATTGCGTTATATATTTACTTTACAAAGTTGACATATTCTTGTATTATGTAAAATTTATGAATACAATCAATTCCATGTAAAATACTTAATGTAAATAATTTCAGTAGCGTTCTTTTCAAACTGACTGATAAGCAATAATATAATAAATAAATGACATACATACACGCATTTATTCTGTACCTAAAAGAAATACAATAAAGATATAATATGTAATATTAAGATTACATACTAATGATACAAAATAAATAAAAAGGAAACAAACTTAAACAGTATGAATATATAATAAATGCACTCGAAATCATTTTTTTGTCCTTGAGGACGGACGTGCATACGGCGCACCTGATGATGAGTGGTTACTGTCGTTCATAGACGTCAGCAGAGCAGCAAGGGCAGAGGCAAGCCGCTGCCTACCGTTAAGTACTCTCCACAAGCCTCGTTTGAAGAAGGACATATCTTTGCGCTTGGGAAACATCGTAGTGGGAAGCTCATTCCAAAGCCAGATGTTACAATTAAATATGCATTATTAAGGATAACCCGAAAATAATCTACTGATCAGATCTTAATCAAATTTAAATGTGATTGATTACCTGAGAAGCACCAGCTTTCAGAATCGGTTTATCTAGAAAAAAAGCTCAGAGTTAACACACATAAAGAAACATGGTCGAACTGAGAACCCTTTAATTTTTTAGTCACTCAAAAAGTAATTTGGTGAAACCTCTTTCGGGTAAAGGCCTCTTTTAGCTCTTACCATCATTCTCGGCTTTTGCCACATCAAGCCAGTCGGTAGTTATGGTACAAAAGAGGATTTGACAATCTTGCGTTAGTTTACCAATTCTCTTGTCACTTGCGCCTGTCTATGTTTTTACCATTTCCATTCTCATTAAAATTGATGACATATTATTAATAAAAATATAAAAGTAATTTAAAACGTGTATGCCGCGTGTCTAATCATTATCTACACAAGCCCAGTTGTGCCCCACTTTGAGAGATAACACTTAAACAATTGATATAAAAACGATATAAAGCTCCTCACAGAACGAATGTAGATACAAGTGGAAATGTTTCACGGTCCATTTTTACACACCTTGAACATACAAATTTCAGTTTAAATCTGCTTATAATTTTTACACAGTACTGGAAAAAATAACCTAAAATAAACTGCCGCCTATGTCGATAACAGGCCACTGATAATGTCATTTTACGTATAGCCTACAAGTTACCGACTGTGAATATTGGTGAACTCTTGACAAGAGAGAGGCAGCTAAATATCTCTGGACTACTAGGGCTGTAAAACTACTTCCATTTATATTTGAAACTTCGTTGAACTAAGTTAATTCGTCAAAGATCTATGATGCCACACTTACTTCGTAAGTAGACTATAAATTAAACAATACACAATTTGTTTTAGGTTTCCAACAATTTGGTATATATATAATATAGCTG